AAGCCAGGACTCTCTGATTGTGCTGAATGTGAGTGGCATCCAGTTCCAGACGTGGCTGGACACCTTAGAACGCTACCCCGACACTCTGTTGGGCAGTTCGGAGCGGGACTTCTTCTACCACCCTGAGACACAGCAGTACTTTTTTGATCGGGACCCTGACATTTTCCGCCACATTCTCAACTTCTACCGTACCGGGAAGCTTCATTATCCCCGCCAGGAGTGCATCTCAGCTTACGATGAGGAGCTGGCCTTCTTTGGCATCATCCCTGAGATCATTGGCGACTGCTGTTACGAGGAGTACAAGGATCGCCGGCGTGATAATGCCGAGCGCCTGCAGGATGATGCCGATCAGGATCATGCAGCTGAGAGCTCCCTGCCCTCAATGACAGCTCGGCAGAGGATGTGGCGGGCCTTTGAAAACCCACACACCAGTACACTGGCTCTGGTCTTCTACTATGTCACTGGTTTCTTCATTGCCGTCTCTGTTATTGCCAATGTGGTGGAGACAGTGCCCTGCGGGGTAAGCCCGGGTCGCATCAAGGAGCTGCCCTGTGGAGAGCGCTATGCTGTGGCTTTCTTCTGTCTGGATACTGCCTGTGTCATGATCTTCACAGTTGAGTATCTCCTACGTCTGCTGGCGGCCCCGAGTCGCTACAAATTCGTGCGCAGTGTCATGAGTATCATTGATGTGGTCGCCATCATGCCGTATTACATTGGCCTGGTGATGACAGATAACGAGGACGTCAGTGGGGCTTTTGTGACACTACGAGTCTTTCGTGTCTTCAGGATCTTTAAGTTTTCCCGCCACTCACAGGGGCTGCGCATCCTGGGCTACACCCTGAAAAGTTGTGCCTCGGAGTTAGGCTTCCTCCTCTTCTCACTCACTATGGCCATCATCATCTTTGCCACGGTCATGTACTATGCAGAGAAAGGTTCATCAGCCAGCAAGTTCACCAGCATCCCTGCAGCCTTCTGGTACACCATTGTCACCATGACAACACTGGGGTAAGTGCAGCTGGTGTTTGCCTACAGCCAACATTTCAACAAGTGTATTGGCACGAACGGAAAATAATCAATTTAAAAAAAATGTTGATAGAAAAAATGCAAGGGTAAGTTTTTGTTACAGAACTTTATGAATATGACTCATCACTTCTTTCTAAATGTTTTAGACATGCAAGAGAGTTAAAAGTGTTGCTGAAGTTAAAATAACCCAAACCCCAAAACTGCAGATAAACTGAAAAATCAAACAACAAACCAAAAAAGATCTTGAAACTGTTTGGGTTCTTTTCAATTTTGTCTAACATGTTATTTGGTTTTGGATAGTGAAATTGGAATATTTTATGAATATCTGTGAGTTATCGGTGGATTTTTCATAGAGTAATGTGTTTGCTGACAGGACTTGTTACAGCATTACTAAAGTAGTGGTAATTATAAGGAGAACCCAAGTGCAATCTTTAATTTGGGCATACATAAACGTCTGCCATTTTGTGTGAAGTGATGTATTGATGTAGACTTGGATATTGAGTTTGGTATTACAAATTGATTTGTTTTCATGAAAATAAAACAGATATAGATACCTTAATCGTCACAAAAATTATTCCTGATGTTATTCAAGAGACTGGATAAATTTCCTTTGGTTTCCACGGACCTTTAACTTGTAAATGACAAAGTGTCAAACTACAGTGACCGGTGACAGACTCTGGAAAATGATCTGAAAAAGTGTAAGACATATGACAGATCCAGCATATCTCTTAAAACATAATTCTAATGGCAATAAAAATTATTCCAGAGAATTAGGTGTGAAAAAATGCCATTGTTGACATTAGACCCCAATGCAGTTTAGTGGAAAGATGGGAGATTGTATTATTTCATAAAGTGTCTGATACCAGAGTCATATTGTACCAGCTGATTCTGTGCACCAGGTTGTAAAATGCATTTGTCCGTAATTATAACAGGGTTTTAGAAGGTTGACTAACTTAAGAAGACAATTTTTTGTCCTATTCTTAGTTTTGAGCTGCATCATCTATGAAACTGAAAATTTGTTGATTCATTAAAAACTGCCTAGTTATTTAAGAATTACAGATATTAAAAGACAAACTTTTCACTTTCATGAAGACAAAGCCCATCATTTTATTAGTCAAGCATTTTTCCACATCTTGTTGGGACTGTTGAGATTTATGGAACATGTATAACTTTTAAATGTAACAAAATGAAAGTGCATTATTAAACTGTTATGAAAAAATTGATTTATTATGTGCAATTGTAGTTTCGTTGGGAAACGCACATAACAAAATAGTGAAAAAGATAAAGGGACTGTCTTATGCCACCATTTTTTATACAGAGCTTTTATCTTCAGTGTGATATAACAAATGAAGATAAATATAGTGCATTGTAAATATTTCATACTACTTGTAAGGGCAAGTTATGCTAAAAAGGAGTGACAAGAGCTTTGGGGTTTTTAATCTGCTTTTTAGGTTCTTGGGGTTTTTTTTGGTTTTCATTTTCTTCTGGTAGTGACAAACTCAAGGGACAAGTTAGCAGAAGGAACAAGTTATGTATGCTGACTAGTTCCATAGCCCTGTGTTTTCTGATGCTGATTCTTTTTGCCACATATTTTTAATTTGAACTGTGATGATTTCAACAAATTAGGTCTTAAGAATTTACCAATATTTAGAATGTATAATTTTATTATGAAAGAGCAGGAGCTGGTCTGTGTTTTTTGAATGAAAGGTGGTTTTTGCGTAAGTTGCTTTTGCTATTATGGACACAGTTTGGACAGTACTTGTCCATGGTACTGAATACAATTTTGTCTTCAGTTTTATGGCCAGTTTGCAATTAATTATGACATGGGTATAGTATCTATTTGGCATTAATATTATTTGTTTGCTTCTTTCACAAAAAAATGAGTATTATTCTATAGTTTCAGGTTCTGAGGTATTGCACAAAGTAAAGTCTTCAGAAGTGCTGATGAGATTTGAATATCATTAAAAATCTCTTTGAATAGAGCCTCAGAACTTATTTTCAAGTACACAGCCATACAATATTTAGGTCCTGAGGGGAAGAAAAAGGGTTAAAAAGAATACAGTCATACTTGACTCCTTTTTTGAAGTAGTTTGCACAGAGAAACTTTTGAGCAGGCTGTACAGAGATCCAAAGTTTCACCCTCAGAAGTTCAGATATAATTATAAGTTCAGATATGACAGACATCACAAATTTCTGGGAAATCTTTAATCAGTGCATTAGCTAGATTATGTCCTTTTAATAACACCTTGATAACCATATAAAGATTATGTTTAAATGTTAAATACATATTAATAATTTAAATAGAATTAACATAATAAAACCTTTGAGCTCTTTTTAGTTGATGAAATAGTTACAGAAAAAGAGAGGAAAATTAAAAGGAAAAATAGCAAGGGTCAGTGAAAGCTGGTTGTAATTAGTACTGCTACCTTTGCTCTGTGCTAAAGTTTCTCGTCCATTTACTAATATAGAACTCCCATTCATTTTTAATTTTAGTTTTAGCTGAATTAGGAGTATATAAATGGACTTTATAGGAACAACCTTTGTTTTTTAGCGCAAAGCTAGATGAAGTCTTTATGTTTTAAATGACAGTAGCACATAGCATGTTATGTGAAATATTACAAAAATACATGAAAGCTAATACCGAATAACAGATTAACATAAAGTTGAGGTTTTGAGTCTTGGTGTCATTCTCATATTTTGCTAGATAGCAAGGGTATTGAGTAAGCGACCTTTGCAATTTGGGGAGTTATTATCTTGGAAGCAGAGCTGTATTTCTCCGTTCTGCATGATTGCTGAGCAATTAAAGTGTCTTTAAAAAACATAGATTACATTTTCCTCTTCAGAGTGTCAGTGACTTCAAATATTACTACATTTTAGCCTCCAAGGATATCCCAGCTATTAACTGTTCTTGACTGCTCAACTCAAGTAGTAGATAGTTGTACATAGAGGTGTTATATGAAAGAAATGAGAGACAGGGAAGAAAGGAGGAAAGGAAGAGAGAACAAGAGAGCGAGAAAGAGGTGAAGGCTGAAAGAGAGAGAGAGAAGAGAGAGAAAGATGGCTCTAGGATAACAGCGTGCACTCTGCCAGAAACTGAGCTGTCTGATTTCAAATTTCAAATTAGTGTTTTATCAGTATTACTTGTAGCAAAAGTGAAGTAGGGACAAGAAGGGACAAGAGAATAGAATTGAAAGAGGTCACAAAACATTGTGTGGATATTCAAGATAACAATGAAAAGCACAGAAGTTAGGGGCATAAAGGTCAAGAAACAGGGTAGTGTAAAACCTGGCAGAGAAAAAAGCTCAAGTCTATGAAACTGGGACCAGCAGACTTACATGGGAGTTTGTGAACATCTACACCCGTAATGACACAGTTATGTCACTTTCTGCTGTCACCTCATAACATGATAATCTAATAACTTTTTTTCTGCCCTGTCAGTGGCCAGCAAATAAGCTGTTTGTTCCCAAATCAGGCAGAGGTATAGTGTAGTTTGTTTTATAAAGGTATGATACTTTAAATAAGGAACACAATACTGTTCTGTGACTTGTTCACACAAAAGCAATCTCACTGCTATATTAAACCTCTTTATTTACAGGTTTTACATTAGGTAACTTTGTCAAATCATGCAATACTTTTGTAGATGAGCACAATACTTTATGAAAGGAAGCTTAAACACAAGACTATTCATTTATTTCCTTTGATTGTGTAAACTAGATGTGTGTCTTCCAGAAAAGATAAAATAACTACTCATTTTCATTATTTGCTAATATAGCCCATAATGTATGAGGAATCCCATCTAAGATATATCAAATTTCCTGAAGACTTTATAATCAAACAGGTGACTGGATGTGACAACAGAAAGCCTCAAATGGTGAACAGGGGAATAGGGTGATGGATTTCATTTTCCTGCACATTCTATTCTCTCTCATCTTCATTCCTTTTCCATTCTTACTGCATCCCTATGGGTATATTCCATCTATTTGTTTTCTTCACTTTTGTTTCAAACTACCACTTTCCACAGTCTTCCTGTTTGGGGATTTGTCTGCTGGCTTGGCACCTTTCCTTCCTTGTTCAAGACAAGTTTAAAGTTCATATTAAGACTATTCTGGCTTTATTTTTTCTGCTTTTTTGTTCCAGATTACTCATTCATCCTTCACTACTAGATCAAATCTTGCTTTCATCATCATTGTCATTCATTTGACCTGAACTTTTCCTCATAACAGGTTTTTTTTCCTGACCTTTGTTTGATAGATTTTTTTCCTTATGAGCATCAAAAAATTTCCACAGCATCACTTCTTTCCCAAATGCCACACACATTATCTTGTTTTCTTTTCCTGACCATTGTGAGTGCCTTTAGTTTCTTACCGTCTCTGTGTGCTAGTTTGAAAACATCCATCTCTTCAGAACTCATATGAAAAAAAAACTGAGTTCAATAAAATCTAACAAGAGAGCACAAACTTAGAAATCTTTGTTTTGTGAACAATTTCATTAAAAGTTTAGATGTACTCTTATGGTGAATATTACAAAGGTGAAAATTGCAGCAAGGTTGGAATATTATTTCTGTACCTCGTACTTACATATTGGCTCATTCATTCATTTTGTGTTTGATATCTTCAACCCTGTTTCAAATAGCAATTTTCTATTTTTGTGTTCTTGTATACAATCTAGTGAATTTTGTATTTTACAAATGTTTGATGTCTCAATCTATCTTCTCATCACAGTAGAGATATTTAGCCTGAATAGTTAGAATACTATATAACAGAGCAGGGACAAAGTGTAGTGTAATCACCTTCAAAGCACGTTACTAGATATTCAGAAAGGGCTCCAGGGAGAATTTGAAATACTGAAAAGTAGGGGTCATTTTGATGGCAGTGAAAAAAAATTATTTGTTCTCTAATAAAAAGATTACTCAAACTGTATTGGGCTGTTGTTGGCTTGACAGAGAACAGGAGTCATTATATTGTTATTTAGTGCACTGGGGACCAG